TGCAGCCATTTATTTATGAAGGCACTGAGATGAACATAACAGGGATAAGCTACAAATATTGGTGGGGTGTTTCGGCTTATCGCTTTGGGTTTAGGGGATAGGTCATAGAGTTCAGTCTAGTTTGAGCTGGATTTTTCATTAGGCCTTTGCATATCATTGTTGCTGTATCTAAATGGGCATTGTTGCAAATCTGTAACCACCAAGAACATCCTCTCTGCCAATATTTGGTACCCTATGGTCACTGAAAACTAGAAACAGCAAACGCTTGCATCTGCCTGCCCTGATACTAGTCCAGGGAAAAGAGAATTGCCATCAACTTCAGGGACTAAAGAGTCCATGACACAAAGTCCAGCATTGCTGATACCTATGGTCTAAAACAGTGGTATTTCTGCTTGCTGCCCAGTGAATTGCTATGGACTTTAGCATGTAGCAAAATAAGAAGCTGGCAGTCAGGAAGTCAAGTGTGGGTGTGCATATGGAGTGGGGCAGATGCAAGCCATCAGAAAAGCTGTCATTGGGCATATCTTAGGGTAAACTTATTCTATTACACTACCCCACCACAGAAAAGCTGTGGGCAAATTGGAGGGAGCTCAGTGGAGGGCAACAAAAATGGTTTGGGGGGTAGGGAACATGACTTATGAGGAGAGGCTGAGGGAACTGGGCTTATTTAGTCTGAAGAAGAGAAGACTGAGGGGGGATTGAATAGCAGTCTTCAACCCCCTGCAGTGGGGTTCAAAGAGGATGGAGCTGGACTGATCTCAGTGGTGGCAGATGACAGGACAAGGAGCAATGGGCTCAAGTTGCAGCAAGGGAGGTTCAGGTTGGCTATTAGGAAAAAGTTTCTCACTAGGAGGGTGGTGAAGCACTGCAACAGGTTACCCAGAGAGGTGGTGGAGCTCCTTGGAGGTTTTTAAGACCCGGGTGGACAAAACCTTGGCTGGGATGATGGGCTGGTCCTGCTTTGAGCAGGGGGTTGGACTACATGCGACCTCCTGAGGTCCCTCGTTTTCTTTGATGCTGCCCTCATGCACACTGTGCTGTGTGTTAAGCTGCAGCCATGTCTGTGCCCATCATCAATGGGCTATTTGGCTCCATTACTTAGCAGTGCTAATTGGCCCATCCAGGGAACCTGCTGCACATGGTTACACTGCTTCAGGCTTGGAAAGGAGCTGCCTCACCAGCTCAGTGTTACTGGGGCTATGGGACACGGTATGTTTACCAGGTAAACCAGAGACATAAACTACCAGGGTCTGTACTTGGGGCAGCAGTGGGATGGCAGAGACCAGGTCAATTGTGATGGCTGCCATCCTTCTGTCCCCTCTAAGTTGGTGCAGCAGGCAGCGGGGTGTGGAGCTGAGGCATAGGAAGGGTGCGATGGTGCAGAAGAGCTGCTGAGGGTAAAAGGACTTGAAAAGTCCCTTGCCGCTGCTCCCAGGACACCCTGGTGAGGAGGGGAAGCTGGGAGCCAGGGTGCAGCCACCTCTGCAGCACTGGTTGCTGCTCCCACACCCTCCTTCATAAAATCCTGAATCTGCCCATGCTCAGAGGCCTTTGCAAAGCCAAAAGCAGCGTTTCCAATGAGACATAAATGTGAGGGCCCTGCTCACCGGCTAATTATTAAATACCCCTCGACGCTTTTCAAAATGGAGTGTGGGCAGGACGTTGTTGTTCGTGCCCTCAACAGTCTCAGATCATTGCATCCAATATACCAGATCCCCGCTTCCCTTCCAGCTGGACTCCGTGTTCATCCTCGTGTCGCTGGCATGCTCAACAGCTGCTGCCAGGGTTGGAGCTGCAAGTCAGCGGTGGTGAAGTGATCTCCGTAGCGATCTGTAGCGGATACTGCAGATTAGCCCAATAATGTTTGCTATCATTATTTATTATTCCTAGTCTGGTCGCTCCTAGTAACCCTGACCCGGGATCAGAGCACTAGACGCTGCCCAGAAAGAGAAGTTGTCACCTCAGAGGCTTCATTCCCTGTGTGTCATGTAGGATACAACAGGTGGATAAAACAAATGTAGTGGAAAGGGTGGGGGGATAGAAAGATGAGGTCATGTTAAAGCAAATAGAATCCCATCACTTGTCTAAATTGCTTTGTAAATCTCACATTAAGATATCTTTTGCTTCTTAATTATTAGTTATTTACTGAATTACTCTAAGTCATAAAAGTGTATTTATTTCTTAAAAGAAGAAATCCTGGAATGAATTGCTTTCCTCTTCCCATCCATGCCATAGGCACCCCGGGCTATTTGGGCCGTCTAGTGGAAACTCCTCTATGACCTTTTTCATCTGCTGGGCTGGAGTGAGAGACCTTTTGGTGAGGCTCCCTCATTGCTGGGGGCTCTCTTTTTCATCCAGTGGTTCGATCCGTGTACTACCTGCACGCCTTTGGTCATTAAATAATCATGCCATTACATTTGTCTAATTAAATGCCCAAGGAAGGCCACCCATGGTTTTTTATCATTAAGCTCTGATGCCCAGCCCACAAGACCCACCTTTCCTGTTTGTGAGAGTATGCTTGTAAAACAGGAATGAGTCTATCACAGGAATCATTATCCTGGATCAGTAGAGAGTCTTGCATGTGCAAGTAACTAAGACCAGCTCTTACAAAGAAATGCCCTTTGCATGTTTCCCAGCCATCACTGGGATGGGATGGAGTGAGGGTAGGATGGAGTGAGGGTAGGACTTTGCTCACCATGAAAAGGAGCTCGGGGGTCACAGTAACCACTGGCTCTGAATGATGAAAGACGGGGAAGGAATTTCCATCACCGGCTGATGTTGTTTTCTGTGATGTGATACAATGAACATTTTGCATATCCGAATGGAAGTGATTGCAACAGAGGGAGGAACAGTCTGCAGAGTAGAGGATGGACAATATTGGGATGGCTCTAACCAAACTCTAAGGAGAGGGAGGAAATTTGGAAGCTCAGCTTTATAGCCATTGCGATGCCAATAATAGGACTTACTGGGTGTGTCTACATGTTCATTAATGCACTTTAGGTAATGCACATTAAATCTAGTCCCTCCATTGTGTGGGCACTTTTACATGTGCTCCAGAGGTGTGTGTCTGGGGGGGATGCTTTAATTAGAGCATCACTGAGAGTCACTCTAATTAAAGCGCCACAGCATCTCATGTATCATCCCAGCCATGCTTCAAAATGGTGGGAGGGCACTTGAATTAAAGCTCATTTAATGAGCACCCCCACTGCCATTTTGAAGTGTGGGGACACTGATATATGAAACGTGGGAGGCTGCCGGAGCACGGTAATTGCAGTACGTCGGAGCAGCCTCCCAGCACATCTACAGGCACACTGAGGTACTAGAAGAAGGTGCATTAGCCTATTTTAATGCACATTAACTAAAGAGCATAGGGGGTTTTTTGTGATGTTTTAATGTGCATTAAAATAGGCTAATGCTCATTAAAATGCACATGTAGATGTGCCCACTGAATCCACTTTTTGGGACCCACCAATGCAGTAGCATCTACTAACCTCATAGTCTCTGAATCTCTGTTGGGTATTTGTACCGAAGCCCAGAATGAGACAAGCTCTGGACGAGCACGCAACTGCTTTTGTGCAGTGTTTCACTGGAGTCAAGCTCCCACAGCAGCCAGTTCTTGTTGGTGCTTCTCTTATATAACAGCAATGTAGAGCTCGTCACATTTTTCTCATAATTATTTTTTCTTTCTGAAAATGCCATTTCCTTAAAATCAAGGCGTTCTG